ATTACAAAGGTCTGATTTTCTAATATTGAGTTATAATAAATCTTGAATTTTCTCAATCAATAGTTTAAATTTTATATTATTCTTGATTGAATGTCATGGAGACGAGACCACAATCGTTTTTCTGAAAAAATATGATCGGCTCCCGGTTTAACTCGTTTATTCTTATTCTATCTTTTATTATGTCATTATTTATTAGGGCTATTTAAATAAAATATCTTGCACCTTGTTAGGCAAGATACATTTTAGAATAGGACTCTTAGATTTATTAAAATCGTGGGTTTGTAGGAGTGAAGTAGATCATTGAGTTTTTTATCAGATTATTGTAATTCTTTCGAGAGAGCATCTCGTATTCTTCCCCATTCGTATCAAGTTCTATATCAGTTGGTATCCACAACCAACCACGATCCACGATGCCGCCAAAGAGAAGAAACGCCGTAAACGACAACATCATTGATGAACGATTCCAACAGATGGATGATCGAATTCAAGGGATGGATGATCGATTTACGAACCTATCAACCGGAATCGAGGAATTGCGTCAGTCGATGCGTACCATGATGTAGGAGGTCTGTACGAACCGCGACGTCGGTCACTGGGGCACACGTGGAGGGTTTCGCGGGGGACGTGTGTTAGAGGAATGTTGTAAAAGCTCGTTTTGCAAATTCTAGTAATTCCATTTTGATCTGGCAATCATGTTTTAGTCAAAGTACTTAAGTTTGCAGTTTATCTATGTATGCAATCATAACTCTTTTATTTTACATTGTAGATAATATGGTTCGTCGTGTCGAACAGAAAGATGATATTATCGGTTCCTTGTAAGATATAAATTAATTGTTCACAGTCTAGACAGGCAGTGAGACTCCTGTTGGAAAAAGACTGTAGTGTAGTCTTGATTCAGTTGATCTTTGACTGAAGGATTGCACTAAAACTTATGTTAAGTATTGAACAGTACCGCAGAAGGATAAGATTGTAAGATTTACTTATCGTAGTTATAACGCCCCACTCTGATTTTAAAGAAATTCCAGACTTTCAAAAAATCAAGACTTAATTTTTCGAAATTCAATTTTCGATTACAACATTTTCATGGGTATTATCGATCATTCACAATATAGTTCAAGTCATATCTGAACTCACGAGGATTCATTACCTGATTTTTCACCTGGATTTCATTATCCCAAAAACGATTCAACATGATATTCATCATAAGCATATCAGCACAATAAACCAAATCATCGGGTTTCATAACATAAGAAAATAAACTAGCTCGTAGGGTTCAAACTCCAATCCACGTAGTCAACATTTCAAAACATCATAATTTTGAAACCAATTCAACATGTTCATAAAAGCGGAAGCAAATAACATATATGAAGACCATCCACTCGTCTCATCGCTGCCATGCCTGCCACCTACACAATTTGGAATGAGGGAGAGACATGGGAGTGAGCACAAAACCACTTTGCCCACCGCTATGCACATAAATTAAATATAAATGACAGATGGTTATGGTCGCAGCATGAACATGAATCAATCAACATATCACATGTTCTAATCACATCATACTCCTACGCACATCTATCATTAGCCACGGAAGGAGATCATTATGTTGGAGTAGTATACCCGGCATTCCAATCAGATTTGACGTATTCTACTTGTAAATACAATCTATTGGAATTATATTAAACAATAAGGCATTACTTTATTTAAGAGTAAGCATTTATCATATATTTGCACTAAGATAAAATCCCTAGATCACTTATAGCTATAAGATATGGTTGCGCATAGAGATGGTGATCATGGAACATATTTTGAAAGCTGTGATCTTAAATACAGTTCCAAGTCGTTGGATGTTTCGAGATGGGATATTGAATAAATCCGGAAAAGACTTGCACATAGTATGTATGCTTATTAGATAAGAATGTTGCATTTCATCAACATTAGCGTGTGATGCAAATACATATATGTGGGTGCTTGTTAGAGAACAA